CCGCCACCTCCCTGCACTCACCAGCCACTGCTGCAAGCAGCTAATGCTGGCTGGAAACAGGGCGGGAGGCAGGGAGAGCCTGCTGGCCAAGAGCTGGCATGAAGCAGGGACTGTGGCGGATTTAGGGCAGGGCGAGCGGGGTGGCTGCCCCGGGTCCCACACTTCCCAAGGCCCCGCGCATGCGCCGTGTCAAAGGGGAGGATCCTGCAAAATTTTGCTGCCCAGGGCCCGGTGGCGCTGCCCCGAGCCCTGCGGCACTCTCATCCGCCCCTGACTGATGGACCAGCAAGGGGAGCTGCCGGCCCTGCACTTCTCTGCTTTGCCTGGTCACCAGCCAGCATGCGGATCTACCAGTACTGACGGGAGGGAAGAGACAGAAAATGTGTGACAACTTGCCCTTTTTAAAAAAAAAGTAGGGGCACCTGCAGCAAGGCTCAAATATGGGACTGCCCCCTTTAAAAACAGGACAGCTGGTCACCCCATATATCACCAGCAATAGACGCTAATTGCTCTAGCATTTAATGCCCATCCAAAATTCTAGAGCCAGTCTATTGGGGTATGTCTACACTACCCCGCTAGTTCGAACTAGCAGGGTAATGTATGCATACCGAACGTGCTAATGAAGCCCGGGATTTGAATTTCCCGGGCTTCATTAGCATAAAGCCGGCTCCGCCTTTTTTAAAAGCCGGCTTGTTCGAACCCCGTGCCGCGCGGCTACACGCAGCACGGGCTAGATAGTTCGAACTACGTAGTTGTTCCGAACTATCTGTATGCCTCGTGGAATGAGGTGTACAGATAGTTCGGAACAACTATGTAGTTCGAACTATCTAGCCCGTGCCGCGTGTAGCCGCGCGGCACGGGGTTCGAACAAGCCGGCTTTTAAAAAAGGCGGAGCCGGCTTTATGCTAATGAAGCCTGGGAAATTCAAATCCCGGGCTTCATTAGCACGTTCGGTATGCATACATTACCCTGCTAGTTCGAACTAGCGGGGTAGTGTAGACATACCCTTGGAAAGTTTGTTTTCAGGAGTGTGTCAGCAGGAGCCCATTCCTCGGGTGGGAAATGCTACCGCATGCCCCCAGGGAAGAGTTGAGTCTAGGGGGCCGCCAGCTGGTTAGGCAAGAATATAAATATGCTGACATTTAAAAATGAAGTTGAGTTACTTTTAACTTGAAAACTGCACTCTTGGCATTCATTAGAGTGCAGTTGTGTGGACCATTACGTCATGAAAAATAGCTAATAGGGGCTTTAAAAACAGAACCAGGTTAAGTCCTGCTTCGCTTCCACACCCAGTGTAAACTGGTGTAGAAACCAGCACCAGCTTCCAGGGATTGTCATTCTGGAAAGTGATTACAAACCTTCTTCTGTGCAAGGCCAAGCTTGCCCCAAAATTGGGTGGCACCTCCCACAGGCCACCTGGGAAGACACAGAATGTGATGAATCAACACAACTTCTCAGAACTCATGAGAGAAGGCAAGTAGTGACAATCGTGCCTTTCCTCCTTTAGGATGATCTCCCCGTTGCAGTACTCAAGGGGGCAGATGGGTATATGAGGGAATGGTTCAAAACTCCCTCCCTCAGCTTCACAGTGTCTGGCCCAGCAATTTTTCCAGACAGCCTGATGGATGGAGCCATGTATAACCCAGGCCATAAATTTGCTATTTCCACTGCCAAAAGCAGCTCTTGGGCTCAAAGCTTCATTTCTTTTTCACTAGCTTCTCTTCTCAAGAGTCTGAAACATGCCAATGTTGTGCTTCTGCATGACATTATCCAGGCAAAGGACACGCTGACATTTGTCTTCGAGTACATGGTGAGTTGCTCTTTTGCTAGTTTGTTTTATGAAGCCTCAGGAAGGCAACGTCTACACTGTGGTGCTATGTTGAGATACCAGAGTTGCTATTCCATGTCTTATCAGTACACCCATTATTTCAAAGTATAACGGGCTCGCTATTCCAACATCCCTGTAAACCTTGTTCCATGAGGAGTAAGGAATGTCTTGGAATAGCGGGTTATTTCGAAATTTGGCACTGTGTAGCTCAAATTGCATAGTTTATTTGGTAAAAATCAACAAAAAGATGCATTAAATAAGCAGGAAAATACACGTGTCATGGTTTCCTCTTATTGCAATTTTCTGGTGAATTCTGACAATCAGTAGCTCCTTGTCTTAAATTGTTAAGAAGAGCCAACATGCTGACTAGAGCCCTGATTTCACATGCCAATTAAGCATGTGCTTAGCTTTAAGGATGTGCTTAAGTGCTAAGCTGGATCAAGTGTTAAGTGAAGTGTTTCATTCCAGGATGAAAAAAATACAACTTTGCAGCCTGGATTGCATGCTACACATCAGTCGCAAAAGGGTCACTGTCATTATATGTATACCCCTAGCTAAGGGCATGTCTACACTAGGAAAGTATTTCAAAATAACTAAAATTGAAATAATAACTCCCGAAATAACAAAACTGAAAGAGCACTTTTCCCTGAGGAAAGCAGAAGTACAGATTTTGAAATAATCAGCCCGTTATTACAAAATAACAGGCTTGGTAGTGTGGATGCTCTGCTTATTATTTTGAAAGAAGAGAGTTATTTCAAAATAACTCCCTAGCGCAGACGAGAGCTAAGAGACCCATGGATTTGATTTCATAGTGTGAGCCTAGTCAGTATTTCCTAGCTCTGATTCACCTGCAGTTTTGTCCTAAGTCTTCTTTCCTTCTCTCCTCTTATTTAGCACACAGATCTGGCCCAGTACATGGTCCAGCACCCTGGAGGACTTCATGCTCACAACGTCATGGTGAGTTCTTTCAGCAACAAGTATCCCTCAATGTGGCAGTGCTTCATACACCTTAAGTCTTTTGCTAATATCTATTTATCTCAAATACTTGACAAGCAGTTGGGAGAAATAATCTAGTGGTTAAAGATTCAACCGTACTCACGCTTCAATTAAAGACTGAAAAAGACCTCACTTTAGTTTTCTGACAGTCCAAGAAGGCTTTGAGCCTCAGTGACCTTGTGGCAACGTGTTCTATCTCTATATAATTCATTACTTTGTGTATCTTCACTACGGTGGTGGGCAACCATCATGGTAATCTGCTGGTGGGCTGTGAGACCATTTATTAACATTGATTGTCCACAGACATGGCCCCACACAGCTCTCAGTGGCTGTGGTTCGCCATTCCCAGCCAATGGTCGCTGCAAGGGACCACGCCTGCAGATGCTCAATGTAAACCCATGGTGTCCAACCAGTTCTGAAGCAGCAGCCACTATAGTGGCTACTGCTATAGCGAACTAACCACACTCAACTGGCCAAATAGCCACATGTGGCTAGTGACTAGCGTGTTGGACACCAAGGATGTAATCAAACTGCCTCAGGGCTCACCAGCAGCTTATCCTGATGGTCCACAGGTTGCCCACCACTGCTTTGTTATCTCCCTAGTTACTGGTCTCTTTTCAAATCTCAACAATCTCAATTTCTCCTAATATGGAACTATCTTCATGTCTCCAAGCTTCCTATATCCACTTTATTTCTGTTATGTGTTTCCGAGGTAATTTGACTATAAGTGAACATGAGTGAAGGCATACCATTAATTCATGTAAGGGCACTGTAATATTTTCTGGATCATCTACCCCATCTTGAATGGCCTCACATTTTGTTTTGTTTGTTTGTTTTATTTCCACTGCACACTGAGAAGCAGTTTCCAATGAGATATCCACCATAAACACCCAGGTCTTTTCAGTGGTTTCAAGTTAGTTTAGAACCGCGCATTGTTAATTCAAACAATTCTTCCCAATATGTCCCATCTTACACCTGTGAACAATTAATTTCATTTGTTCTCTTAGTTTTGGTAGGTCCTTCTGAAGTTCCTCGAAGACTTCTCCCATCTTGACTAATTTAAATAATTCTGGCATCTACAGATTTTGCCAATGTACTGGTCACCTGTTTTCCCAGATCATTAATAAAGTTATTGAACTACACCCTTTTTGGTAGGTCAACCCCCTCTAAATCATTAGCCCCACTTAAAAACAAGGATTAATCTGAATCCTTGTTTACATTTCAAACATCCCAAGGGTCCAAGGTCTATTGTTTTGGTTTTGGCCCAATTCTACTTTAACAAAATCTTTGTTACATTAATATTCTAAAACAAAATAACAGCCTGCAAGTTCTCTGGAGCAAAGACCATGTCTACCTCTATGTTTGTATAGCACTTAGCACAATGAGGTTCTGATGCAGGACAGGGCATTTTAGTACAACTGTAACATAAATGATAAATATCAGAGACAAGTCAGAATATCAGAAATGTTGAAAACTGAATTATGGTTCCATTTACCAAATAAGGAGTTTTGCCACTAACTGTAATGGAACCAACATTCAAGCAGATTTTTAGTATATAGTTTTAAAAAAATGAAGGAAAAACAGGTCCCTATCCTGCAGTTTCTACTCTCCTGAACAGCACTGCATGAGCAAATGGCTCCTATTCCAATATTTTTTCATGACTGTTACAATGGAAACCTAAATTAATTGGAATGTGGTTCTAAGGCAACTGTGATTGTGGACCTCAGCCCTTGCTGACTCTAATTCCAAAATTAATAAACTTAAAAAACAACAAATGATCTGGTAGCACTTTATAGACTAACAGTGATGTCAGTTTGGATCTGTGCGAGTTTCTGATGTCCAAAATTAATGCCAAACTTGACTGACAAAGGAAATCTCAGAAATATGTGGACAACAGAGTTGCCCACTGTCTCCACTTCCAGGAAACAATGGATCCGTGCCGTGCACTGCACAAGTGCTATGCCACTAGGAAGCCTTGTTCTAAAAAAAAAAAAAAAAAAAACAAACAAACCAAAAAACTGTAACATGTTCTGACTGGCACTTGCTTCAGTAAACACCAGCCAGCTGCCCTCCTTAGGTATTTTCATTCCTCATTAACAAAAAAACTGGAAAACTGCAAAGTGATTTATTATGAGCCCTCAGGAGGGTGTGGTATGACTAGTTTTATTTATCCTTGCAAAGCAATTTTTGAGATCTCATATGGAAAATGCTATAAAAATGCAAAATATGATTATATATCTGATTTTTGTGTGTCCCTCTTTTCTTAAAAAAAAGCTATCCATGAATGTCACTTTTTTCTCTAGTCTCCAGGAAAAGTCCCAGATGAAGTGTTTCACCTCTGTAGAAGACTAATAACTCACGCAATGTGTTGTTTTCTATCCTTTATGCAATTTCAGACCTGTTCTGGGCCTCATTCTCATTTACTTTAGGATCATTTTACACCAACAGAGTAGTCAGAATCAGCCCTCTGTCATTATTTCTTCCCTCTGTATATGCTCTTCTTCTTTCTCTTCTATTCTTTTCCCTCCTCTGCCTTCATTTTTCCTCTCTGGAGTTTTCTCTCAGGCCTGGTTTACTCTGGAGGAGAAGGTCGATCTAAGATACACAACTCCAACTCCATTAATTGCATCACTGGAGTAGATGTATCTTAAATTTCCATCTACACTGCAGAAGGCAGTTGGGACCACACACTACCGTCGGCTTCCCTTACTACTTGCAGAATGAGGAGTACTGGACACCAGTTCCTTCAGCGTTAGATTTAGGGGGTCTACATTAGACCCACTAAATCGAACGCTAGAAGTTTGACCTCTGGAGGGTCGATCTTTTTGCTAGTGTTGACATGCCCTAAATGATTAAGGATATCTCACTTTGCAAATGTTAAATCTGTGCTTTAGGAAGCTTTACCTTACTTTTGCTACTAAAATAAACAGTCAAGTTCTAAAGAGAAGCAAAGCTTTTGAAATGCCCTTTTAGGATATAAAGAGCAACAGCCATGGTATAATACACTGAAAGCAACAGGGAGACTGGTAGGAAGCATATAATCATCAGCTGGTGTAACTATCAGATTTTCCATCATTTTTGTTGTTACAATGTTCCAGTCCCCCTCCTCAGCCTGTGCCATTGCTAAACAAGTTGACCATTTTTACTGATTCCTCCTTTCCTCTTGCACTGTTTCATTTCAAAGGTTTTCCTGACATTCTGAATTAATATGTCCAAGCAAAATCCCACAAATCTGCTTAAGTTTGTCGCCTGTTTTTTCTAGTTGTTCATGTTCCAACTTTTGCGAGGCCTGGCTTACATCCACCAACAACACATTCTTCATCGTGATCTGAAGCCCCAGAACTTGCTCATCAGTTGCCTGGGCGAGCTCAAATTAGCTGATTTTGGTGAGTCACTACCTGATTATAACTAGTGCATCTAAGAGCCCTGTTTTATGCATTCAAAGCCACCAATTGATATATAAGTGTAA